AAAAAGATATATATGTTAAAGGAGAATAAAGAAAACTGTTTTTAGTGAATAGTAATGTAAAAAGAGAAAAGAAAGATAATAAAGAACATTTATTGGAATATACTACTGTTAAGACGGATTACTGTTCAGTGAAGATAAATTCTTATTCGAAACAGCGATTTATTTTGTTTTTTTTGTCGAATTCCATTGAAAATTTGATAATTAAATAATTGATCATAGGCTTGTCCGTAGGTAACGCACTCGCGTTTTGTCAACTTTCGATCCGAGTTTTTTAGGAACAATAAAGCATAGAGCCTTGAAACTTTGAGAATATATGTACGTTATGAGGCACTTTAACGTATATAAGTTTCATGCTAATCCACTTTACAGTTTTGTTTTTATACCAAAAATACATGCTGGTAACGCACTCACAAAAAAGGCCCTCCTTTCTTTGGGTATTGCTAGGACGTTTGAAATTTCTGCGAATACTTGAGTTGTAAATACAATAGCTACATGGTAATTTATAGAGGACAATTAGAGTTCTCTATGTGAAAAATTAGTTTGAAAATTTGACAGAAAGTGTATTCGAAAAAAATGCTTGTAATTGAGCTTTTGATTTATCAATATCTTCTTGTGTTATTTCATCAATAATAATAGCCTTAGTTTTTGTTTTTGCAATATTAATAAAATCAGTTGCATTTTCACATTTGTCTTTTTTGGTTAATATTTGTTGCCAAACAATTCTTTTAACACTGCCACCAATGGCATCAACCACGCCTTTGGCGTGGCTGGTAGCAAAAAAATGCCACGAAAGAATCAATTGATATTCATATGACATTCGTGTCAAATTACGCATCAAGTATCGTTGTTTAAATTGGCTGGCGGCGCCGTCACTAAAGAATAGAATTTCTTCTAATGATGGTAATTGTTGTTTCAATTTGTTAATGATATAAGTAATACAATTGTAAACACAATATTTATCATGACTGATATTATTTGATACTAATGCAAAGGAATAATTGTTCGTACCACACCAAGCATAAGCTGTAAAGATAGAGACCGACTTGGAGCTCCAATGAGCAGATTGAACTTCATCTTGCTGTTTTATTTCAAAATTTTCACTATAATCAACTTGAATAACAATTTTTTTATTATCGGTATTGGTCTTTGATTCTTCGAAAAATTTACTTTGTTGACGTTTAATGTAAACATGTAATAGAAATGTCTTCACTTTAGAAGATAATAATTCAATACCGTGTTCAACTGATCCTTGTTGCTCTTCTTTTGTGGCATAACCACTAATATGCTTCCATTGGTACCATTTAATTTGAACATGTCTATCAATAACATTATTTTTAATATTTAAATCGAAATAATTTTCACAAGTAAAATAATTAGATGACATACAATCATAATTTGACTCATCACAAACAAGAGCCGATGTAAATGAATATAAATTTGAACAAAATGATCCATTGACATGTTTAGATAAACTATTTAAAAGTAAATTCACGTTTTCATGATATATGCAAATGCATACACGATGCGCCATAGACGACTTCACTGAAATATGTTTAGGACGTATTTCAGCAAAAGCCGTTTGACCCACAGAAATACCTTAAATAAAATTGAAGGATTAATAATCTATAGAAAAGCAACTTACCTGGATTCTCAGCAAGAAAAAGTTCGTATGCTTCTCGAATAGTGTAAAGAAGAATTTTTTTTGATATGTTGTTTTATTTCCATTATCATTGACGACAATAGTATCATGCTTTCCAGGCATTTGGTACGAAATATCATCTCGACCATAAAATAAAATTATACTATTTTTTATTTTTGATGATAACTTTCGAGTAGTACGTTGATGATTATCTCGATGCACAATACCAACTGCTTGAGCTAGAGCTCGAACGATAACTTTTTTTTTATTGAAGTCTTTCGGAAGAGCACATTTTGCTTTTTTTAATGCCTTTCCGAAAGACTGTTTTGACAAGAAAGAATTTCTAAAGATGAGAAAAATTTTCCTGAAGCATTATCAAACAGTATAGTACATACTTGGACTTTTTATTTTTATTACGATAAGCTCTTTGTGATTCTGCATGTTTTTTATCGTAATCTTGTTTCTTTGTGCCTGTTAGATTTTGACGATATATTCTCATTCGTACAGTATGTTTGGCTTTCGTTATTTGATATAAGCCTTTGGCTTTCAAATTTTCACGATAGCGCTTTTGCTTTTGTGCATTTGTAAAAGTCATTATATTTTTATGAATACAATAAATGTTTAAGACCAGTTTATGGTATCAAAAGATGACTTAATTTATTATAAAGTCTGAAATGAAACATACAGGAAAAATATATTTCGTGAGTGCGTTACTATTTTTTTTTCAACGGACAGAGATAAATCGCAACTTATATAGCCCCTAGGTAGCCTATGGAAAGTTAGCAAAGGATTGTACGTTAAGGTCAAATTGATCAAGCAGTTATGATGAAAAACTAACTATAGATTCTGTTTGGTAACGCACTCACCCAAGAATTTATCAGGTTTTTAGGAGTTTTCTATTTTTTTTCGTAAAAGACATAGGAGCTATTATTGATATCAACGAACAGCCCGGATTTCGTAGATTCGAAACATATGTCAAACTTCAGTTGACAACTACTTTTTTAACCTTTTCTTTCTTTCTTTCTTTCTGTAACGACGTAAAGATGACATACATTTAAACCAAGATGGCGCCAACTTATGGCGAATAATTTTTCTTCTTTTAAAGAAATAACAGAATTCAAACCATATATTCTAAGACAAAAAAATGTGCTTTACAAAATAGCATAACTTATTTTTTAAAAAGTTCAACTTCTACTTTAATCACTTCGGTTGACCGTTAGCCGGACAAGCCCAAAACACATATTATCGCTTCGAAAAGTCTATTTGACTCTTTCAGTATTTATACCCTAACTCATACCCATCATTCCATTCATAATATATTTATTATGCTTTGTAAGTGATTTTTGTCTTAAATTGTTTACAAGGAAAATTTACTATACATCATAGTATATTTTATAATTCAGGTTTATTGAGATAATAATCTAAAACGTTTCTTTTTTCGGACGTGCTACAATGGTTAGAAAGAGTTATATTTTCCATCTTCATTTTTCATTTTGATGTTTTTCTAGGAAGATCAGTTAAAGTCGATATCAAATTATCAAAATATTTTGTATAAGTCAAATTTTCATTGCAAATATATGTCGTAGGATAATCCGCGGTGGACCTACGACACATATCATCTTCAGATTTGCACACTAAACTGTTTTAAAAATTTTCTAAAGGAGAAAAATGGTACGTAATAAGGTATATCAAAATATCAAACACCAAATAATTACAAGTAACATTCGTCGAACAGCAACTCATTTAGTCCTAGACTGACAAGACCAGAAACGGAAATTCACTTGCGTGCACTCTAAGTTAAAATGTGTCGCATGTGTCGTGATTCGCAACACATTCCACGACACATTCAAGCACGACACGAGGTGTTCGTTGCGACACATTTTCTCCAGCAAGCGTACGACACATCCGACACATTCTGAAATCGCGGTTCGAGCCTAGGTTTCACCGTATCTATAATTTTTTTTCTTTGATGCATTATATCCATCAATATTTAATTAGCACAATTAACATCAGTGTTTGATGCAACACCGTTAAAAAGTCTGATCTTGAGATCCAACCGTGCAAGACTAGTCAGATCTTGATCAGACTACTGCCGGGTAGATCTCTCTTAAAGTGAAGTCATTATTTCTCGAAATATTTACAAGAAATATATAATCGAGAAATATATTATATAGAATGGTGCATGAAAACTTATGATTTTCATGTGATAGTTCAGATAGATTATATATAGATATACACGCGGAACAAAATGGTGAATGAACAGTCGTCATATATGTACAGAACGGTTAAAAATACGACACATTAAAGTGCGACACATTTTCTTGCTGGAACCCACGACACTATAATTTACGACGGAAAAAGTCGACACATTTTAACTTAGAGTGTGCGTCTGCCTGTAAAACAGTTACCATACGGTAACTATGGTTCCAATGAATATGTAGTGAAGTGATCAAAACGACCATTTGGTAACTGTGGCACAACGGAACATCTAGTAACTATGGTTCAAACGATATCAGAGAAGATTATCAAGATCATCTAGTCAGTACGATTCAAATTAACCGAACAGTTCGTGAGCTGCATAAAAATGTAATTGACGAGCATTATTATATATTTAGTCTATTGATTTATCGTTTAATGTTGTTTAAAATGGGCATGTGATATATTGATACATTACAATTGTTGGTAAGGAAATCTGAACAAATAACTATGATAAACAGACATAAACAAAAATTATGTTTTTTTTAAAATAGTGTGAAAAAAAGCTTGTCCACTACAGCCCGTCGGGTCCAAGAATTTCTGGACCTGAATCCGGTCGATTAAATTTTTTTTAAGACCCAGACCTGGACCCGACGGGCTCTATTATCAGTGCAGCCCCCTTTGGAGCTAAAATGTGGAACTCACATATTCATGTAAACATGTCTGTCACGGTCCGTGACGACTCGTTGCTAAGGATGTCTGTCATGTCGGTGACGACGAGAAAGCGTTGCGAAGGTGTTTATCACGTCTGTGACGCGTCGTTGCTAAGAATGTCTGTCACGTCTGTAACAGGCCGTTTCTAACATGTCTCTCACATCTGTGACGACTCGTTGCTAAGGACGTCTGTAGGGTGTAGGGACGAAGAGCCCTCAAAACCTCGACTTAAAACTTATACTTACTATTTTCTTCGAAAATATGTTAGTTCCACAAAATGTGAAACAAATCTTTTGAATGCAAATAGCACTGATATAAAAACTAGTTGTAAAAAAGCATTATTTTTGTTTATGTATTTATCATAATTAACTATTCCGATTTACTCAACAATAATTGTAACGTATTAATAAAGCACATTTTCATTTTAAACGCTATAGTAATCATTTCAAACACCATTAAACAATAAATCAACCAGACTTAATATATAATAATGCTCGTCAATTACATTTTTATGCAGTTCACGTACTGTTCGGTTAATTTGAATCATACTGACTAGATGATCTTTATAATCTTCTATGGCATCGTTTGAATCATAGTTACTAGATGCTCAATTGTGCCATATGTAACGATAAAATGAGAAAGAGAGATGTTATGACAGACTGGAGAAGTAGCTAGCCGCTACTCGGCAATGATGTTTATCAGCTACTTCATATCTCCAGAATGTGCCTATTGCACATTCAACACAAGCTTATATATGATAGAGAAACAAAGAGAGAGACGACACAGAGAGAACAATAGGGAGAGGAAGAGGAAAGAGGAAGAGCAGTGAGCCGTGACATATATATCGGCACACTATAGTTACCAAATGGTTATTTTGATCATTTCACTACATGGTCATTTGTACTATAGTTACTATACGCCCATTTGTACCATACTTATTAAATGGTCATTTGGACCATAGTTATGTATGGTAGCTATGTTATATAGATAGACAGGCGGATACAGCTGAATTTCAGTTTCTAGACTCTATCCTTTTAGTCTAGAGAAAAAAAGTCTTTCGAAAATGTTATAAGTCTTTTCTAGTTGCATTCACTTCTGAAAAATAGGCTAATACATATATATATATATATATATATATATATATATGATCTTCTATACATTCACATCGTACTACATATTTGGCTGTAAATATGGGATTTCGGAACTTTGCCAATCTTGACTTTCGCCAATAATTGGCGAAATTCCACGGAATGTATTGGCGAAAGTTCAATGGATCTTCGCTAATTGGCGACTGTCCAACAGATATATTGGTGAATGGCTACTGAACTTTCAGCAATTGGCGAATTTCCAAGAGATATACTGACGAATATCCATTATGTATACTGACGAGAGTCGAATAGATTTTTATTCGTTCAAGTGAGACATTCATATTCTCCATGATATATGGAAATCACACTTAGTATTGTATAAATGTACTGTGAATCATTCGGGTGTGGGTGTGGATGTGGGATGTGGGTGTGAGGGTGTGGGTGTGGGTGTGTGTGGGG